TCTCTACAAAATAAAATTCCAAAAAAATTAGACAGGAGTGGTGGTGCATGCCTGTGGCGCCAGCAACTGAGGAGGCTGAGGTGGGAGGATCAATTGAGCCCAGGAGGTGCAGGCTGCAATAAGCACTGCAGTCTGAGTGATAGAGTGAGATCCTGTCTCACAAGAAGACAACTGACATTTTTAAGTAAAAATAATATACTATGAAATTTATTATATAAAAATGAAACACATGTCAACCATAGGACACAGAAGAGTGAAACAGAAGTAATATTACTTAAAGTAGACTATAACAAGTTAAGATGTCATAGTAGATTAAATGGTGGCCTCCAAAAAGATTTGTCCACATGCTAATCCCCAGACCTTGTGAATGTTAACTTGTTTGGAAAAAAGGTTTTTGCAGATACAATTAAATTAACGATCTTGAGAGGAGATAATCCTGGATTATCTGGTGGGTCCTAAATCCCATAATGAGTGCTCTTATAAGAGACACACAGAGGAGGGACTGACAGATAAAGGAGGAAGTAGCAAAGTGACTGTGGAGGTAGATATTAAAGTGATGCACCCACAAGCACAGAGATGCTGGTAGCCACCAGAAGCTTGAAGAAGGCAAGGAACAGCTTTCCCTCTAGAGCCTCCAGAGGGAATGTGACCCTTCCAACACCTTAATTTCGGACACCTGGCCTCCAGAATTGTGGGAGAATAAATTTCTGCTGTTTTAAGCCACAAAGTTTGTGGTAATCTGTTACAGCAATCACAGGACATGAATGCAGATGTATATATGAAGTCTAGAGCAGCCACTAGGAAAAGAAAATAAAGAAATACAGCTGGTAAGCCAATAATGGAAATAAAATCACATCACTAAAAAGTCCTCAATCCAAAAGAAATAAGAAAAACATATGAACAAGGTACAGATGGGACAAATGAAAAACAAATAGCCAGATGGCATTAATAATTACATTAAATGTAAATGGACTAGAGGTACCTAGAATCATCAAATTCCCAGAGACAGAAAGTAGAATAGTGGTTCCATGATCTGAGGGAGGGGAGAATGGGGAGTTTGTATTTCCTGGGTGCAGAGTCTCAGTTTGGGTTGATGAAAAAGTTCTGGACATGGCTGGAGGTGAGGTTGTACAACAGTATGAATATATTTGATGTCGCTGAATTGTACACTTAAAAATGGCTAAAATGGTTAATTTTATGTTATGTATATTTTGCCACAATAAAAAATGTAAGTGAACTAAACTCTGTAATTAAAAGTCAGAGGTTTCCAGATTGTATAAAAAGACACAATTATTTGTGTCTATAAGAAACCTACTTTAAATAGATGCAGTCTAAAAGTATAGAAAAAGATGCACCATGCTAATACTAACAGAAAGTTTGAGTGGCTATACTAATATCAGACAAAGCAGATTTCAGAGTAAGAGATATCACAAGGGATAAAGGAGACATAAAAGGGCATTATAATCTAACATGAGGTATGAAACAAAAATTAATAGAATTGAAAGGGGAAATTTAAAAATGTATAGTTGCAGTTGAAGATTTTATACTTTTAGTAATTGATAGAAGTAGTAGAGAGAAAATTCGTAAGGATATAGAAGATCTGAACAACACCAACTTGACCTAATTGACATGAGTGAAACATTTTGTCCAACAACAGCAGAGCACACATTCTTTTTCAAGTGTATACAGAACATCTACCAAGATAGACCATAATCTAGTACATAAAACAAATCATAATGTATTTTAAATGATTTAAATCATACAAAGCATGTTCTCTGACCACAACAAAACCCAATGCCAAAAGATAGCTGGCAAAAAATCCCAAAATATTTGGAAATTATACATTTCCAAACAATCCATGAGTGAAAAAGGAAGTCACATTTGAAATTAGAAGATATTTTGAACTTCATGAAGGTGAAAACACAACATATTAGTATTTGGGGATGCAGCTAAAGCTGTGCTTAGAAAAAAATATACAGCATTAAATGTTTATATTATAGAAGAAGAACATTCTCAAATCAATGATCTTAGCTCCCCAATATTTTCAAGATATCAGTTTTCCCCAATTTCATCTAACGACCACAATTCCAGTCAAAATTTCAGCAGGGTTTTTTTGCAGAAAATGACAACCTGATTCTAAATTTTGTGTAGAAATTAAAAGAAGCAAAAATGCCTAGAAGAACCGAAATAATTTTTTAAATGAAGAACAAAATTGGATTTCTGTATTTTTAGTAGAGATGGGGTTTCACCATGTTACCCAGGCTGGTTTTAAGCTCCTGACCTCAGGTGATCCATCTGGATAGAGCAAGACTCCATCTTTATACTACCTGGTTTAAAAACTTATAATAAGCCTCGAGTAATCACGATACTATAGTTCTGGCATAAAAATACACATATTCACATAAAGATGTACATTGCATAGATCAAAACAACAGAATAGAGAGTCAAGAAATCTACTCAAATATATATATGGCAAATTGATTTTTGATAAAGATGCCAACATGATTTGATGGGGAAAGGAAAATCTTTACATGAATAGTACTGGAATAATTAGGCATCTATATGTTAAAAAAAAAAAGAAAAGAAAGGAAAGGAAATGACCTGTTACTTTAACCCATATACAAAGATTAACTCAAGATGAATCATAGACCTAAATATAAGAGCTCAAATTATAAAACTGGTTCCAGATTTTTTAAAAAAGGCAAATGATTCGAACAGACACTTTACCAAAGATACCACAGATGGCAATGTAGATGAAAAGATGGTATTATGGACTAAATGTTTATGTCCCCTCAAAATTACATGTTGAACCTCTAACCCCCAGAGTAGTGGTATTTGGAGGTAGGGCATCTGGGAGGTGATTAGGGACAGATGAGGTCATGAGAATAGGGCCTCATGATGAGATTCATTTTCCTATAAAAGAAGAGGAAGCAGGCTGGGAGCTGTGGCTCACGCCTGTAATCCCAGCACCTTGGAAGACCGAAGTGGGCAGATCACGAGGTCAGGAGATCAAGACCACCCTGGCTAACACAGTAAAAACCCGTCTCTACTACAAAAATACAAACAAACAAACAAAAATAGCCAGGTGTGGTGGCATGTGCCTGTAGTCCGAGCTACTTGGGAGGCTGAGGCAGGAGAATCGCTTGAACTGGGAGGCAAAGGTTGCAGTGAGCCAAGATTGTGCCACTGCACTCCAACCTGGACAACAGAGAGAGACTGTCTCAGAAAAAAGAAAGAAGAAGAAGGAAGAAGAAG